CCCCATGTTTCCCAGCCCTGGTGTCATGCAATCACGGCCTTCTTTCTCACAAACACAGCAGGGCTCTCTGACTGCAGCACCAAGGTAATTTCAGGGCCTCTTGCCAAGCAGGTCCTCGTGCCATGTTGTATGATATCAGCTCTCTGACTCCTGCTTAGTCTCTGCTTCCAGTCTGGCTCCTCTGCAGTGGCTAACCTGAGGGTCTGTAACAGAGCTCTGATCAGCCCTGACCTTTTCACCAACCTAGGTGGCTTCTTGTTACCCTCACGGCATGCAAGCCATTTGGTGATCTAGTCCCAAGCCCTCCAAACCCAGTGTTTTTAACACACACTCCTCATCAGCCACAAAGGAAATCCAGTTCATCCCATGGCCCCACCTCTGTTCATGCCATTCTCACTTCCCAAAATGCCAGTCTTCTCGACACACCTGACCCAGACAGGCAAATTCCTACTCATCCTACCAGAACTGGCTTTCTCCAGGAGGCTTTCCATGACCACTCTGTGAGTCACATTTGGCTCCTCTGGTTGACTCCAGGGCAGCACTTAATACATGGCTGATGGATCTATGTCCCAGCATTGCCCAGTTCAGCAAAGGAAACAAAAAGTGAAGAGTGACCTGATGGATGAGACTCTAAAGCTGTATTGTTTAATATGGTAACCTGGTTACATGTGGCCCTTTGCATTTACATCTGTCCAAATTAAATGACATTAAAAACTCAATTGCACTATTCATACAAGTACACACAGACTAAACATGGCTAGTGAAGCTTTCACAGGGCACAGAGCAGATACAGAATGCTTTCATTGCCCCAGAAAGTTTGGTAGCAGCACTGGCCTAAGGAAGCTTGTGTAGCACCAGAAGTCCTAGGTTCCAGCTCTGAAGCCTTACTCCTACCTCACACTGAGGTTAGGTATCTGCTTCTCCTAGTCTCAATTTCTTCATTGATGCAGCCAGTCCCACACCCTGTTCAAGGCCAAGCCAGGCAGAGCCTCACAGGACCTTTCGATTGGTTCTGTCACCTACTGCTTTGGATCAGGCCCATGTAGACCTGGGGATTGAGTCGGGCAAGTGGAGTCTGCTTAGACGAAAGCTGAAGGATATGCCTGACCACCCTCAAGTTCCAACAGCTCTGGTAAAAAAGACAAAACAAAACAAAACAAAAAACCCAGGGTCCAGAGTTTGCCCTGCAAACCTCCCAGGAACACAGTTCTGCAAAAAGCATAGCCAGTGTATACTCCATCGGCTTCAGGAGATCTGCATGGGCCTTAAAACTGGCACTTATTCTTCCTGGACCCAGAAGAGACCCAGGCAGGGTCTGGGGGAAGAGGCAGCTGCAGGGGGTGGTCCACAGGGAAAGGGAGGAATGGAGAGTGGAAAGTCAGAACCGCACTATCAGCACTGCCTGTCCTCCCCACTTCCTCTCTTCGAACAGATCACATCCTGTTATTGTGTGGACAGAGAAGGCCAGGAGCTGGGGAGGGAGGCAGGGCTCAGACCAAGCAAGTGGAGCAAGAAAGCAGGAGCCAGAAGAAATTCCACAGTCACACTTCTGGCTCCAGTAGCAAAGCAGCCTGATCCCACCTGATCCCAGGTGTTATGGGCAGGAGTGTAGGACCCAGGAAGGACAGCAGGCCCAAAGCTGCTTGCCTCAGCCATCAAGGTGCAGGGGTCCAGGGCAGGAAATGCCATCTTCTCCAGGAAGCCTTCTCCAGCCACCTCCTCAGGCCCGTTCAGTTCTGTGAACTCTTGCTCAGTTCTGCACGGCCACAGCTGGGTCTCTCACAGTCACTGCACCTGCCTTCAAAGTTGTATTCTCTGCATTCTATAGCCATGTCCTCTCAGCCTGTAGGCCCCTACCGAGAGGGTCAGGGTGGACCCAGGCTCTTTCCAGCACTGCTAAGCCAGAGGCAGGCATGAGGGAAGTCTTCCTGCTGTTCCTATGTTCCCTCTTTCTCTGCCGATCCCAAGGGCAGCCCCTATTCTGATCCCATTTCCAGAAATAATAATGGATGTTTTCTATAAACCACATGCATTTCCCATATATTATTCTGAAATCCTATGAAAGATGAGTGTTAAGTATCTTCACTTAGCAGATATACAAAGTGAAGCTAAGAGAGGTAAAGACACCCCAAAATCACACAGCCAGTGCACTAAGCAGCAATGTTAAAACTTCAACCCAAGTGTCCCTGACCCTAAAGGCCAGGATCTTTCTGTATCCCAGCTGCCTTTCCCACTCACACTCACTTGGGCTCCGGGCCCTCCCACTGTGAAGTATGCTACATTGACTGTCCAGCCATCCACTGAGCCTGTCCTCTAGCTGGTCTGCTGTTCCAAGCAAACCATCCACTTCTCAGCTAGTTATCCATCCCTGGTCCTGGGCAGCCTGCTGAGACAGCTGAGCTGCTGTTCTCTGATAGCATGGCCAGGGCCATTCTGCTCTATGACCATCAACTGCCTATTCACTGTCTCCCCTTCCTTCCCAAGGAACCTGGAGCACTGGCTCTGGACACAAACCTGATTTCCTATCTGTGTAGTCAAGCCCTTTTCTTTCTCTAAGCTCCACGTCCTCCTTCCCTGGGTGATCATCATGCACCATTTTCCTTTATTGTACTCAATATTGCCAAGCCTCTGCTTGCCAGGTTCACAAGGACAGTGGGGGTGGGAGGGGCCCGTGCTGGCAGCTCAGTTTATTGTTTTTCAAATAGGGAAGAGGTTGATGGGCCCTGGGAAAGCTACAAGTGGACCAGATAAACACCACTGTAGGCTTCATCACTCCGCACTTGCCCCACCAGGCCTAGGATGGTAACCAGGCTACTGCTGCAGCCCAATCCCAGAAAGCAACCTTCTTCCTTCTGCCTTTCTAGGAAAGAACCCAGGCCAGAGACAATCAGCCCGTAGCTAGGATTCAGTCAGGAGGCCCTAGAGTAGGTAGGACTGTGCAGGAAGGGCTCCCTGCCACCAGTCTCCACGCTCTTTCCCCACTGGCTTCAGGACTGAAGTAGGAGCAGCACACCAGCAGCTCTTCATCATTCAGGGCTGGGACAGTAAAAGGAACCTGTGCCAGGTGCGCCCTCCAGCACTGGCGCAAAGAGTGCTCTCTTCTTCAAGGTTCTGTTTCAATGGGGAAGCAGACAAGTAGACAAAGATTGGACAACCCAGGTTTGAAGGGGTCACCGTAAAGGAAAGCATGCGAGAACAAGAGGCAGCTGGTCCCATGCAGTCAGGGCTGCTTCCTCAATGTGCAGGACAAGTCAACCAAATGAAAGAGGGGTGGGAAGAAATGAGGGGTATCCTATTCGGGAAAAAGAAACAAAAGGTGCAAAAAAAAAAAAAAACCACTGGAAAGTCATAGGACAATAAAATAATGTGGTCTGGAACAGAATGATTTAGCAGGAACAAGAAGAATGGAGAAAACAAGACAGCTCAACAGGGCCACTGTGCCTCGAACGCTTCCTCTCAGGATCAGAGGCCCTAGGGCCTCGGAGCTGGTGCTGTCCTGGGAAGCAGGAGGCTTGGTCCTTCCCTGTCTGCCTGTCACCATAGGATTCAGGGCACTGCAAAGCCTTCTCCTCTCTAGGCACATCTCCCCATCTGAACACATGGCTACTATCCCAGGTACTCTCTAAGGGCCACAGCAGCCTGGAGTGTCTATAACCTCATGTTCTCTCATGGAAGCCAGAGTTCAAGGGCATTTCCTGCTTCATGACATGGAACACCTCCATTCTCCTGGGGAAAATCCTTCCAGACCTGTCCCTCTCTTCTCCATCCTCAGGTCAGGAACTGTCAGCTGCTGCCTTCTCACCCAGTACTCGGTGGTCCACATATTGCTAAACGCAATCAAGATGTCTGATTCTTTTCTTGCATGATCACTCAGCTATGTTGAACTTGGCTAACCACTTCCTCCACCCCAAATTCTGTGCCGTTTTGTTGTCTTTGACACTTCTCTTTCTTTTCTGTCACAACATGTTCCTTCATCCTGCTGCTCCTCAGCCTGCCAGTCCAAGATCCACAGACAGCTCCACAGGACCCCCAGCTAGGGCCAAGCCTCATCACATAGCTGTCTAGGCACTACCTTGTCCTGGCCAGGAAGAGGCACACTTAGGGTCTTCCAAAAAGCTGAGAGTTTTCCTACAGGTCAGAGTATGACTTCTGAGTCTGTCCTACCTAAGGGCAGGACAGCCAAGGCCAGAGCCTGGCAGATGAGTGAGCTTCACTGTGAAGGAGCTGAAATCCTCTGTGGGACTCTCAAATTTCCCCTCTTAGCACAGCTTTTTGCATTAATGCTAGTTACTGATTACATCTTCAACCTGTTTACCGGAGTTGTGTTTGTCACTCCTGCTAGAATTTAAGCTCCAACAGAACAGGGATCTTGTTTTGTTCTAAATTGGATGCCCAGCCCCAAGAACAATTTCTGGCCCACAACAAGTTCTCAGTGAATGTTTTTTAAAGGAACCAATGAAGGAAGGGCCCTCAGCTGGACATGCCCACCCTACTGAAGTCTCTGAGTATCGAACAGTCAAATGCAGTGTAGCAGCCTCCCAAGTCTGACAGTCCCTACCACAAACCACTTTTCCATTCCAAAGCCTCTAGGGAAACTTTCCAGGTTCAAAGACTTTAGCCTCCACCCATGAGCCCCAGTCCTGAAGAACCAGGTAATAGAGTTGTAGTCCCTGCTGAGTGACCATTGAACATAAGGCCACTTACATGACACCTTACACTGTCAACCAACCCTGGAAGCAACTTCCCCAGCCATGGGAGCTGAGCTACCACAAGGAGGCTCTGCTGACCACCCCAAACTAAAAACAGGATGCTGAGGAAAGAGACCCTACAGTGAGGCTGGGAAGGAGAAGAAGAATGGAACCCTAAGGGAGAACCTCTCTCTCCCACAGGTTCCCCAGCCCTGACCCCCTGAGGCTCCCACTCAGAGAGGCAGATGCCCGCCACACCTTACTGTCCGGATTCTCAGGCCTACAAGTACAAAGTGCAAACAGAGCCCAGGCCCCTTTGTAAAACTTTTATTTAGAAATCTTCCCCATATAACCTTATATATGTACACACATCATCATCAACACATGGGTTTGTCCGCTGGAGAGTCACACGCCCACAGTGTGTTGGCCTCTGGGCGTACAAAGGTCAAGGTACCCGGAGCAGTTACTCCTCTTCTGCAGAAAAATGCAGAGACCAATGCAACTCATCACATACAGTACAACATTGACGGAAAGTGCTGGGCCCACTCACAGAAACTGTGTGCTATGTACATAGGCAGGGGCAGCCTCGCATCAGGGTTGGTACCACTGAAACCACAAGTGCGACTAGACCCACCCAGGAGGCTGCAACACTGTAGGCTGACTACAGATGCCCTTTGTTTTGTTTTTGGAGAAAGATAAAGGTTGTACCATCTTGTCATTTGCCACTACAAATAAAACAATATGAATTCTTCTTAAAGGTGGAATTCCTTCCACATTCATTGTTGTTCTCCTCAAAACGGCTTTTTACACAATTTCATTTTTGCACAGGTACTGTAAATATTATTCTTGGAAAATTGCCATTTCTTCACAGGCAAGGAGAGGCAAAGGAAGGACCAGAACACGAGAAAACAGAAATTAGGGGTTTCGTTTAGTTCTTTCAAAGACCTGAAGCCTCTTCCTTCCCTGTCTTGACCCTGAGGGAGAAGGTGGATATCTCCCACAGTCTGCCAGTGTTCCTCCACCGCTTGCCATTCTCACCTCTCTCTGCAATGAGACAGAAACTGAGACCATCTGAAGAAGCGAGGATCTAGAAAACGCAGGCAAAAGTAGTTTACAACCTAAACTACCCAGATGCCAACTGCGCAGGGCTGGGAACCTCACCGCAGGATTGGTACAAAGGCAACAGAATTTTTGTTGGTTTTTGGAGGGTTTAAATTCACCCCTCACATGCTAGGCAAGTGCTCTGCTGGGGTAAACTACATCCCCAGCCTGCCAAAGAACTCGGTGTAGTCCTCCTTCACAATGGCTGTCCTAGGAGACACGCCAGGCCAGGGTTTTTAATGAGACTCTGACGCTTAGAAAAATACCTATCACACTGCAGAAAAGGAAACCAAAAGCTGAATTCCTGAGAGAAATGTGTGACCCATTTCATAAAACCCATCATTCACCTGTAACTGCTTTTCACTGCTAGATCAAGCTAATTGACTTAGGAGGCAAACAGCCTTAAAGCCTAGGACCGTTGCTCCGTGTGTTATGCTGTGTTTTGATTTGTTTTAGTTGTTCCATGTTTACCAGGATGAAACTCCTCACAGGATCTCCTAAGCACTGGGAAGGAACCAACTCTCATGTTTTTCGAAGTATCACCTTGGGAGTCTGAAATGAGCTGGAGAGTGAGAGTGCTCCCAGGAAGGGGAAGGAAGCAGCAACCCCTTCCTAGCTTGCATAGGCCTGTACTCCAGGCTCCATCTCAGCAGAGGCACCCCCTGGGCCGAAGCTCAACACATGATGGGCTTCTGCATGACAGGATGGAGCCATCAACTAGTTTTCCTGACCTCAAGAGTCTTCTGGGAGGGGGCCGTAGTAATTTAGATTACAAACTTCTGTGCAGTTTGTTATGTGGGACTAGAATGCATCTCAGGCAGGCCTACCTTTAAAAAAGTCATGTCCCAGGCTGGGCACAGTGGTGCATACCTCTGATTCCAGCTTTTGGGAGGCTGAGACAGGAGGACTGCCATGAGTTTGAGGCTAGCCTGGACTACATCACAAAACTCTGTCTCGAAAAGAAAAGAAAAAAGAAAAAAGAAAGGAAAAGAGGAGAGGAGAAGAGAGGACAGGAAAGAACTGGCAAGCATGAGGTCGTGAGTTCCATCCCCGGTACCTAAAAAAAAAGAAAAGAAAAAGAGAAGAAAGGAAAGAAGGGAAGTGTTCTGTTGTCAGAGTTGACAGAGGAGGCAAGGATACAGTGGTCCTCACTACAAAAAGATTCACTTTACAAAAACTTTCAGCAGTTATTTCTGTAAATGATGAAGAATAAGGATTTGATTTACACACATTTCCTGTACAACTCTCAGAGTGGGCACTGCTATTGAAGTAAACCAGCTGCCCATAACAAACACACTCGATGCCAAAGCTGCACAATCAAAGAGTCCTTAAGGTTCTGGTAAATGAATGTGCATGTTTGGGTCTTAGCGTGGGCCCGGCCTCTGATTGGATTCCCCAGTCACTTCTAGAAGTGGGGCTGTATTCTGGGTCATATCGAAACCTAGAGATTCCACCAGTAATAGAAGTCAAGCAGAGATTCCAACTACAAAAAAAAAAAAAAAAAAACCCATAGAGAAGTTTGTGCTCAATCCAGAAAAAAGACAAGACCTTCATCAGATAGATGTCTTGCAGGAGGGAACTCCCTCCAAGCACCTCAGAGAACACATAGAGCCTCACAAGTGCCCATGAGCATACTGGCATTTGCTCACTGGCGTGAAGTAATTGAAGCCCACATGCCCAAAATATTACTTGCTCAATTTCTCCCTAATATCTTTTCCCTTTCTCTGTCTCCTCCATACAAAGCCCAACAGGGCATGTCCAAGGCTGTACATTCAGTTCCAACAGCCTCAGGACAAGAAGACATGCCTCCGTACACAGAAAGCAGAGCTCCGATCCCCAGAATAAAAAGCAAGGGCTCCTGGGTTTTCTGATCCTCTGGCCCAAATGAGAGTGGTCTGTCCACTGGCCATCTTCTTCAACCAGGCCCTGAAGAAGGCACCTCGAGTCTTGGGAGTCCCCGCAGCAGCTGGCAAGCTGATGGACCAACATGGGTCTGGGTGAAGACAAGGCTCTAGAAATGGCAGCTATCGGGTACCTATATATTTGGACAGAAGCAGCCACTGAAGCCACCCCGGCCAACTCAGGAGGGGCTAAAGGCAAGGCAGAGGCTCCTGGATGCCTCAGGAGACAGCTGACAACCCCAGGTCTTGGCAAAGACGGGGTCCCAAACTTAAGGCCAAAAGCAGACACTTTAGCCTTTTACTTGGGAACTCTTAGGGGCTGCAGGGAGAAGGGAAACCGTGCCATCTTCAGAAAAAGTACCTACCACATTGCTCCATTTTCCTGTTCTCCTACTGAGGCAGGAATCAAAATCTCCTACTGAGCAGGGATATCCAGGCTCAAGGACAGATAGGGCATCCCCAAGTTCAGACTTCAAGGGAAGTTCATCAAGAATCCATTGCCCTCCTTCTCATCCCACCTGCCCTGATGTCCACTATCCCAGTGGCCTAGGGGTCCCCTCCTGGCCGGTCCTGGATGGCACCAACCCATCACCGGGGGCCAGCCCCATCAGAGGCAGGCAGCAGGGCAGGGTGGAGGCTGTGGGCTGTGTGCTTGGGCGCTGGCTCCTCTGTGTAGCTGTCCGGGCTGGCAGCCCCGTCCAGGGAACTGCCACAGCTGGAGTTGGGGGAGAGCATATCCTGCAGGAGGTCATCAGGGGGTGCGCCACCCCCTGTCCCACCCCCTCCAGCCCCTACCACTGGGTCCTTGCCGGGCTTGGCCCGTTGGGTGCCCTCCTCCTCCTGGTCATTAAGCAGCTTGGCCAGGAAGTTGATGTACTTCATAGCCAGGCGAAGGATCTCGTTCTTGCTGAGCTTCTTGTCTGGGGGATGCGTGGGAATCAGCTTGCGCAGTTCGGCAAACGCCCCATTCACATTCTGCTGCCGCCATCGCTCCCGGCTGTTGGTGAAGATTCGCCGCACAACTTTGGTGTGGGGACCTGGAGGTTGGAGGGCACAGGTCAGGAGAATGGTCAGATTCTCCCAGTGACACCCCATCCACTGGGACACTGGGGAGACCTTTCCTTTACTCAGAGGACACCTACTCAGTCTCTAAACCCAGGTCACAAGTCACCTTCTGTCAACTCTCCCCCAGTCACAAGTTACCTTCTGTCAACTACCCCAGTCAAAAGCCATCCACGGCCCTGCTACCCCTTAGTCTCCAGCACTTGGTTGTTGTTGTGTGTGTATATGGCTGCTCTCTGGCTGTGTGGCATCTGAAGTCAGCACCATATGTCATTCACTCAGGCAGTCACTCTTGCCAAGAGGCCTTGCTGTGCTATGCAGAAGACACTCCAGGTGCTCCAGCTATGTCTTTTGAGCAGTACTCCCTAGACAAGCACCCCTGGAGAGCGGCCCTGGGCAGTCTGTGGCTCACTGTTTCCTCAGCCAAAGGGCAAAGTACTAGTAAACTGATTGTTACTACATGGGTCCGACTCCTCCTGCAGATAAAGGATGGAAGACAATGCCTTCCACTTAAACATTCAATAAATGTTAGCTAATATTATCTGTTATCAGTGCTTTACTAAAACCCAGCACTGTGCTAGGCACTAAAGAATAATGATGATTAAAACACAAGGAGTCCCTACCCTCATGGAGCTTACATTTTAATGGGGATGAGAGATGATGAACAAAAAAATCAGGGGACCAAAAAATGGAAAGGAGCTACTACCCTTAGCTAATGCAGCCAGTGAAGTCCTGTCTGATGATGAGACATTTATAAGGTAAAAACTTAAGGGTAAAGCAGCATCAGCCAGGCACAGCGAGGGAAAAGAAGAGTGATCAGTTAGAGTACAGATGTGCAAAGGCCCCAAGGCAGGAACTAGCCAAAGTTAGCCTGTCTGTGAATGCAAGGTGAGAGTAGGCAGGGCCCTCTCCCAATAACTACTGGATCCAGACCTCAGTACATGAAAAGGAAAGGGTTAAGACTGCATTCAAGTCCCACTGCACATCTTAGAGCTAAGGAGACAGCATGGGACACAGGTAGGCCTTCTCTGAGTGGTCAGTCTGGGGCCCAGATCATTTGTGCTGATGCTTGATGTTTTATGGTCCTCCGCCTGGACACTCACACACACCCCAGGTTTTACCAGGCGGTGGGGTGGGGGATCATGCAGCCCCTGCCATGCCTCTGTAACTGTGTTTTCACACCCCACAGTGGACTGTTTGCCAAATCCCAGGCCCAGGCTCGAAAAACACGACACGTGCTGCACAGCTTTGCCCCCAAGACATAATGTGTGGTTCTCAGACCTGCAGGTCCCCAAACAGTGACACAGGGAAGACCAGTCCTGTCCCATGAAAATGCTGATAAGCTTGAGGGCGCTCACCATCAGGGAAGGGACACTAAAACTGCTGTTCCAGGAAGAGCCAGGCAGGCTCTGGGTCCAAGCAGTGTGGCAAGCCAAGGACAGAGTCCAAAGTGTAAATTCACATTAGGAGAATGGACCAGGACTCAGCTGTGGGTTTTTAAGCAAGCCGCTCAATCTCTCTGAGCCCCAATTTTCTCATCTGAGAAAGAAACAATTAATATTGACCTCGAGGGCTTGTATGCATACGAAGTCCATGGTACATGGTAAATGCTAGCTATCACCAAGATATCACTGCTATCACCCACCCACCCCGCACCCGCTGAAAGACTGTCTGAAGCCTGGTAGCAATGTGCTGGGTGCTAAGAGTACAGTTATGAATGAAACATGCAAACCTCCATGGTAAGGCCATCTCAGTCTTCAGTGGAGGGGACGCACTCTCCCCAAAAGCCCGACCTACTATCTTCTTGCATCTTCCTGATGACACAGGAAGGAGAAGGAGAGGGGAGCGCCTACCTCAACCTAGGTCCTAAAACCACTCTACCTCATAAAGAAATTGTAGCCCAGGAAAAAAATGAGCAACAGATATCTATATCAAGCCCTGACTCAGGGCTGGTAACAAGGCTCAGTAGTAAAGTGTTTGCTTAGCAGACTGAGGTCCTGGGTTCAATCCTGGTCCCATCCAAAAAAATAGTCTCGCCTCTGAAGGGTGCATTGCTTCTGCTTCTGTGGGCTCTTGAGTTCAATACTCAAGTATACTTCCTCCCTTTCACCTGCCTGTCTGCCTGCTCTCTGCCTCCTCCTCTTTCTTAGTCTGTCCATCCTCTGATGCCCTCTGTCTCCCTCTGCCTCTGAGTAGGTGTTCAGAATATATATACAGGGTACTTTTATGGGCAATGGCCTTCCTGCACTCCCCCCTGGGCCCTCCCGCTCTCATCTCTGCCTTTCCCCTGGGAAACTCCTGGGCTGCACCCAGCACCCCTGGGGTGTAGAACCCTCTCTAGTCAGCACCACCACAGTTGCTTGGGCTGTCTCATACACAGCCCTTCCCACCAGCTCCCAGCACTCAGCCCAGCTCTCCCCGAGGCCTCAGGGTGCTTCCACAGGAGCCTGCACATGTCTCTCAGCTCTGAAGAGCCTGTTCTGCTCTAGTGCTGATCCTGGCATATCAACTCTGGGAGAAGGGGGGGGGGGGGTTCCCAGATCTCCCATCCTTCCAACCCTTCCCGGAAAGCTCAGGGCCAAAGAATATCCAAATACTATGGTCCCCATGGTAGCCATGCTGAGTCCCCTGTGCAGCAATCAAAGGACTAGAGTAGAATCTATAATGATGGGAAGAACTCCAGATCTCAACACAGAATGAGGAACAGAGGGTCAGAGGGGTCCCCCAATGTAGGACCTAGGAGGAACCCCAGAAGGTGCAATGCCAGACTCTAAAGACAAGAGGGTTGGTTCTGGGAAACCTTATGGTGGCTAGAGTCCATTATTGCCTGTAATAGGGACTAGAGCTGAGTCTACTATGCCATTGTGTGTCCCTCCCTCTCCACATCCCTCTTCCCAGGACTGTGTGACTCTCTTAGCTTCACTTGATTCAGGTTCAGGGTGAAGAGCTTTGGCATTTTAGCTCCAACGTGCTCAGCCCACCATGTGAAACAGTCCTGTCCCTTCGGCAGAGGGCTCTAACCAGTCAGCAGGAGGTGGGAGACAGGTGAGCAGGGGACTCACCATCTGTAATCTCCATCTCGTAGGGAGAGGGTCTCCTCTTCACTCGGTTGTTGGCAGTGAACATAGGGAAGGCATCAGGCTCCCCGAAGAACCCACTGTGAAGGGAGCAGGCAGATCACAGGTCCGTATGAAGGGCAGAGGGAAGAAAGATTCCTCAGGGCCCCTCAGTGCATGTCTTGAATCCCCCACCCAGGAAGGCAACCCTACTCCCTTCACACTTAAACCTGATACAAGGGGAATTCTCTCTCTTTCTCTCTCTCTCTCTCTCTCTCTCTCTCTCTCTCTCTCTCTCTCACACACACACACACACACACACACACACACACACCAGTCAGCCACATTCTTCTCCCCCACAGGCTAGCAAGCAGTCTTCAGTCACCTCTACTGTCAAACAGGTGCTCACAGTGCACAACTCTGGCACCAAGGTCCACACAGGACACTGACTCTTCACCTCCCATGCACACCAGGACTTTCACAGCGCCCTAATATCACCCGCACAGCTTTCTCACTGCCTGTCCCACACACTGTGTGGCCCTCCCCATTCAGCGCTGGAGCCCCAGCCCCAAACACCGGAATCACCAGTGTCCCAGCAGGGAAGCTATGATGGACTGGCACAACTGGGGGTGCTGAAGCCTCATCCCCACCAGGCAGGGACTCAACAGACCCGGGTCTCTGCCTGGTCCGACCCTGTCCACCCTGTCCACCCTTGGCTGCAGCTCCCAGGATAACTCCACATCCCTTCTGGGCAACTGAGCACGTGCACACTCAATCTTGCGCCAAACACACATTCGGGTGACCCCCACCCCCGTCCCGATCTCCCACCAGCCTGCACACTATGCAGCTACTTCCACCCTGCCATATAGACTCCAAGTGCAGTTCTCTCTCACACACACACACACACACACACACACACACACACACACACACACACACGCAGTGCGCACCGCATGGCCCATCAGTCCCTGTACTCTCTTTCCCTCTCTAGCGGCTCCTTCCCCACCCGGGCGCTCCGAGCCCGGGGCTGCGGAGGGGAGCGGGGCCCGGCCCCCGCGGGGCGCTCACCTGCCGAGCGAGGCCAGCGGCTGGCCGAGGCTGTAGAGCAGCGCGCGGCCGGGGCCGGCGGGGGCCGCCAGCGCGGGTGGGCTGAGCTGCACCATGCGGCCGTCACCGGGGAGCTCGGCCGGGGTGGAGGCCGCGGCGGGGACCGGGGCGGGCCCGGGAGGTCTGCACAGCTCGGTGGTGGGCACCCGCAGGCGCGCTTCGGCCGCCGCCGCGTCGCGGCCCTTTAAGTCCCTGGCGGCGGCGCCGCCCCCCGTCCCTGCGCGCGGGCCCAGCTCGAGGACGGGGGGCTCCGCGGGGGCCGCGCGGCTCGTCTCCTTGGCGACGCCGTTTAGCAGCACCAGATGCGGGGGGGCCATGCGGGCCTCGGCCGCGTCCCGGGCCTCGAGCGGGGGGTCACTGCGGGCCGCCTCGCTGGGCGGCCGCTCGGTCATCCTGCGGGCAGACGGACAGACGGGCGGACGCCAGCTCCGACAGCTGCCCCCGGCCCGCTGCGGAGGGCACCGCCGCCCCGAGGGGCGAGCAGCGGCCGGGAAACGCAGCGCCACGTGGACAGCGCCCCCGGCCTCCGGGCCTGAAGGTCGGCTGCCTCCCCGCCGGGGCCGGAGGGGGTCCCCCAGGGCAGGGGAGAGGGCGGGGTGCCTCGGGGACACAGGGACCGGGCGCCGAGAGGACAGAAATAGAGAAAGATGGCAGAAGCATCGGAAGAAAAGGAATAGGGCCAGCGAAAGAAAAACCTAAGAGAATAAAAGGAGGAAGGAAATGCAAAGAGGAGAGAGAAAGTTACCCCGACCCCCTCGGCCACAAGGGAAGAGGAGGGATCAACCCCGGACCGGCTCTTCCCGCCCCCACCCTCCCGCTCCGGCTTTTGGCGGGGAATCTGTCAGAAAGGGGTGGGGTGGGTGGTGTCCGACCGCCTTTCACAGCACGGCGACACCCCGCACACTGTGCCGCGTGGGGACACCCCCCACACATCACGCAGAAAGCTGGTGGAGGTGGAAGCAAGGAGTACGAACTACAGGGACTTGGGTCCACTCAGCCAGGGCTGGCAGAAAATCATCCAGAGGAACCTGCTCCTCCCGCCGCGTACACACAAAATTCACCGGTGCTCAAGACCAACTGCTAAGTACATCCACCTTGTGTTTATTCTGTGCACTGCTGGTTTACTTCTTACAAGGGAGAAGAGAGATTACCAAGGGAAGACGCTGATCCTGGCACTGGCACCTTGACTCTCCAGGCAGGACTCCGAAGTAAGGCTAGGTTTCCAAGAAAGGCCTGGTCCAGGCAGTATGGAATCCAGACTTTCAGAGTGCTTCTGAGGGCATGGGGTCTGGCCTCTCTTCCAAAATCAGAATCCCCAGCACCTCCCCCCCCCACACACACACACACAAACCTTGGTTGATTGAACTCTGACCTCACTTTAATAGTCTCATATTTATAGTGGAGCCCTCCTTCCCCTCACAACCATATTAGATCCCCTGGATTCAACTGGATTAATTCCAGGCCAGGTAGGTTTCCCTACCACCTGGCCTGATCCACATAGAGACACCCTCAAAAAAACACCCAAAAGAGAAAAGTCATGAGACTTACGATTTAGAGTTTGAGGAAGACTATGAGCTGTTTTAATAAAATAAAGCTATGATCAATTCAACAGGCTTCATAAATTATTACTAACAAGGATTCTACTCTCAGAATTCTATAGAGTATTTTAAAGTGGAAGAGATTCACAAAAGTGCAATTAAGCTTGAAGGTAAGTCTATCTAACCAGTTCATCTCAGCCCTCAGGTTCCCATTCTACCACTGCAATGCTCTTGACCAGAGTCCATCTCAGAACCAAGCCTTTCACCCCAGAAGGGAGAACAGGCTCCTCTACCTCCTATAGAACTCAGCTCCACTGCCACCACATGCAGCAGCATGTGAAGAACAGAGATTCAGATACACTGTAATGGGTCCTACAGCCCCCACAGCACCTGGAAATGACAAATTCTTAAAACTGGTGTAACTAAGCTGCAAAAACAGTGGGTCCAGGATGCCTCATTGAAAGCAAGTTTACGATTATAGTGGAGACAAAATGTCTGAATTCACAGAATACCACAAGCAAGACACCCAGGCCACTGGAAAGGAATGGGAAATATACCAGCAATCTTAGTTTCTCTTCAGCTGTTGAAATATACCAGAAATATACCAGGCTTAGATGAAATATAAAAGGGAGGTGCTGGCTCCCCACTTCTCAACCAAGGTTAGGTACCTCAGCCTATGGTTCTGAGTGACAACAAATGTGCACTGCAATCCCAACTTGACTCAGTCTTCACATGACACATTTATACCTTCTGATTAATTCCACACCAGTAGTAGAGGCAGATTCCCAAGGGGCAAACAGAGCACATACTCCTGATGAACTAACCCCAAAATGGCCTCTCCAGATGCCTGTAAATATCCTGACCTCAAGGTTCCTGGTGAGAAATACAGATTGGCCCTGGTGGGCACTATGGCAGATTTCTCCCTTCCCACATGAGGAAAATCCAGCTCACTCTTTTGAGCCTAAGATGGACCTGGCCAGAGGTCCACACCAAAAGGAAGCCACCAGAGTACTCAAAAGCACCTGTGGTTGTCAAGAGACTAAATTGCATCTTTTGATTTCAGTTAAGTTTCCTGAAAGGAAAGGCTGAGTAGTTTTTATCTGCTGTATTTGTTTTAATTGGAGGAGGATGGAGAAGGGGGGAGATTCACGATTGAATGGCCTGAGACTAGAATATTTAGACCATTGTTATTCCTTTGTGCCACAGAGACCCTGCCTCCTGCCCTCAACATTTCCGTTGTCAGTGGGCCTGACCGTTCCAGCGTGTGATTAAGGAGATCAGGGAGTGTGTTCCTGGGGCCAGGTAATTTTAGAGCTGGCCTTGAGTTCCTTTCATCACCCCCGCGCCCCCCTCCCACACACACTTAGGACACCCTGAGGAAGTCCCAAAATTGCACCAAAGCAACCTCCAGTGATCTGTGTACTATCCCTGCGGGGAGTTCCAGCGCGGGTCAGGCCCACCCTAGCAAGAGCTTTGTGCTGGCCCAGATGACCTCGGCCTTCTTCCTGCTGAACTCCAAGCACAGCGTGCACTACCCGGATACAGCTACCACAAAGTTCCCGTCCTTGAGCAACGTAGGCAGATCCCGACCGATGGGAGCGGCCAGGAGGACCAACCGTAGTCCAGCCAGCTGGTTTCACCGGAGGCCGGAAAAAGGAAAGGGCCCTGCAGGAGGCCTTAGGCAGCTAACAGCAGTCCGAGGCCGGATTCCCAACCCCTAGATGGTCCTCTCCTTCCCTACCGTCGGGGAGACAGGGCTCTCCCCTGTCCACAGCCCCACCCCCACCCAAGCTGGGAACCCCAAGGACTTCCTGGACACCCTACCCACCACATCACCACCGTCACCACCCTTCACATACTCACCTCGGGCATAGTTAGAGAGACTGGCCCCTTGGAATAGGACCTCCACTCTTCCGACAGGGAGGGGTGAGATTAAACTGGGGTCTCTGCTCTCCGAGCCCCTCTCGCAGAGAGGCCAGCAGTTAGTCAGGCGGCGGTGTGGTCCTGGACGATCTGCCGCGCCCAAACCGAGTTTCCAGGAAAGATGGGGGTGGAGAGAAAGAGGGAGGGCGAGAGGGAGGGCGAGAGAGAAAAGAGGGTCAATGGCTGGGAATTGCCTCGAGTCCCCCCGCCGACCAGCTCAGTGAGTCGCGGACCACTTTCTGCCCCCACCCTGCAGGTGCTCGGAGACTCAACCTCACCTCGTCTCCGTAAAAATGAACACTACACCTGACCAATCAGAAATAACTTTAGTTCAACAACAACCCCTCCCTACAAGCTGCCCAGAACATTTTTGAACCCTGCAGCTGGGATCAGTGTGGTTCAACGCGGCCGTTTGTTTTCCAAAGACGGACGTGTCTACGCTGTTTTCTCCACAACCTGAGCCAGGCTCCTGCAGCCGCCGCAGCGCCAAAGCCAAAAGGGGCGACCCCAGCCTGAGGCGGAGGGTGGGGGATGAGTCGGGAAGGGCCGGTGCCGTCTCCAGGCCCCGGTCAGTGCGGCAGCACCTCCGGAGTCCCTCCACTCCCTGGTCTGCCCCTCCGGATTCTCATCTACCCACCTCCAACCCAAAGCGAAACCAGAACCCGATTCCAAGGATTGTACTTCCCTGCAGAAATGGAGTGGGGTGGGGGGAAAGGACAGAAAATCTATTCGGGTCCTTTCTTTTCTTCCTATTGACATAAAGAAGGAAAGAAAGAAAATGCAGAGAATAGCGTGAGAGAAAGAAATAAAGAAGAAATCCCTTACCTTTACTACCCGTACAAAACGATTTTCGATTTTTCAGGTTTAAACAGGCAGAATAAATAGGAATGCTAATAATTTGTTGCAGCAATAAACGAGGCAAATGGGAAAGAGGGTAAAAACTGCTTCCAAGGGTGTGCTGGGTTTAGTTGCTTCCCCTCCCTCCGGTGGGTTTTAATTTGTTTTTGCCTAAAACGTCCAGTTTGTGATCATACATCGAAGTCTTGGATTAATTGCGAAGGTTTCCTTCTTTTGGCCGCGGCTTTTGTGGAAATATAAGAACAATTTTCCCTGGGTTTCGATCCGGTGCGGGAGGTTTTTCTTTCTCTCCTAATCCAAAAGGAGGGAGGGAGGAAAGAAGGGGGGAACCCACCCGCGCCCGGGGACGGTGCCGCGCACAGCGGTATTTCAGGCTGACCCTCTCCATTTTCTCCCCTTACTCCAACCCCCGCAACTTAGAAAACAGGGCAGGGGCGGGAGGGGCGAGTCCTGGGCCGCTTTGTTCTCCCACCCAGCAAGCTAAAGGGACTGGCTGCTCCATTTTTGGACGATTATTTTAATTAAAATAGGACGTTCATGATGATGGCTGTGATGGCGATGATATGAACAATCGGCAAAACTAAATCCTTTCTCTCCGGGCGGGAGAGCGTGACCCCTTCCCTGCAGGGATCCCCGACTCTGCTGCAGTCACCTGCACCACGGGCGGCGTCTGGCCCGCCGGGATGCGGCTCCCGACGAGGGGCTGGGGAATGGTCCCCGGAGGCGCTCTCCAGCCCTGCACCTTAGTGGCTCAAGGCTCGGGAAACGCGTCCATTGTCCTTACCGGCCTCTCCCACCGCCCCCCGCGGCCGCGCCGGCGAAACTGACCAGAAATGGGCGAAGCCGAAGTGCTGCGCGGACCGCAGACCCGGCTCACGGCCGGCCGGAAGGCGCGCGCTGCGGGCGCTGCTCACCGCGAGCTCTGCAGCGCCTCCGCTCTCCAGCGCACCCCGCAAAGGCCGAGGCGCAGCCTGGCCCCGAACACAGCGGCCGCCGGCGGGGCTCCGACCGCCCATCCAAGCCCACACCGGCTCCCGAATACATCATACTTTGGAATAAAATGTGAAACCCCGCTCCCCGCCCCCACGCCGACGCCCCCACTAGCGCCTCAATCTCTCGCTCGCCACCCCCACTCCCGCCCCCAGCGATTTGCAAATGCACCTCTAAAGGACACAAGCACACTGGCACACAACTCGGGGTGGACGGGACCACACAGGAGGGCCGCGCACGAGCACAACGCAGCCCCGCTCCACACGCAGACATGGTCGGCAGACCCTCGCTGTCCGGCACACAACGAAAGTGGCCAGCGCAGTCGCCCACGGACACACAGCTCGGCACGGCCAGGCTCACACGCGCCGCCAGAACAACGCCACCGTCCACGCACGGTCAGAGCCCAGCGCGGAACCCGGCTCCTGTTGAAAAAAGAGACAAGCAGGATGACACACATCGACTAAAACGCAGCAGGGCCTCGCGGGGTCCAAAGCTACACACCCAAACGGTGCAGGCACCAGCACACTCGGACACGCAACCAATCGCCAAAAAACATCACACTGGGGCAGCCGCCTTGCCCACGGCTCACACACGCGCTCTCACAATCGCACCGCGTGCACACAACCACCAAGAAGAAATGAGAACCAACCACCGCCTCGCGCATTTCTGTATATTGCGTAAGGAAAAAGGGGAAGGAAGGAAGAGAGTCTCCGAGGCAGGAGGGGCCGCGGCGCCGAGCGCAGGCGGAGGTGTCTGTGCAAAACGCCCCCATCGAAGGAGCCCGGAGCCGAGCCAGGCGCCCCCGGGTGCGGGGAGAAGGAGACACGGGCGCGGCATTTGGTGGAGGCGGCGGACCGCTTCTCCTCTACGAAAAGGACGAATGCTCACGTTTTTCCGCAGGGGGTGCGCGGGTGGCCGTGTGGAGGCCGCTGCCTGCGGGGTGCACAGCCGGATCCCCCCCGCGCCCGCGCCCCGCGCCGGCCCCCCGCGCGCTCATCCAGCTCACGTCCCGGCCTCGTTAGCATGGGCCGGGGCGCTCTGGGGCCGCGTGCGCCGCGGAGATAAGGCACCGCCGCGGGTCCGCCCGCCCCCGATAAGCGCCTCGGCCATTACGGGCCAAATGATTCATTTTAATTTGGCAATTTCACCGGAGGGAGTGGAGACTGGTCGTGCGGCGCAGGGACCGGCTCAGAAATGGGCCACGGAAAGAACCGCGCGTTGTCCACGGTCCGGCGTGGCAACCCCATGTCTGATCCCCAAGCTTGCCTAGAATCCCCGCACCCCGCAACCTCCCGCATTCCTTCTGCCTTAGAGATACTGTTCTTCCGGGACTGTGACCCCGACACTCGGACTGATCCTCTGAAGATCACCCTAACGCCCAAATCGTCATTTACCAGCCCTTCATTCATTTTTTTCTTCGGTGTCCCCCACACTTAGATTTCAACGGGGAGTTTCCCCTATCTCAGAACCACCCTCCACTCCCAGTTCCTCGCTGAGTTTTCACTCTTCAACCCTGGGCCCTTTCTGCTGTAAAATAGGGCCAGTATCTCAACCCCAAAGGGCTCTGTGGGGACTAAGCTGATTCCAATAGATGTAAATGTCACTTTGCTTGGTTTCTGGCTGAGCCCAAAGCCCAAGAACACCACTGCATCCTCCTTCCCATAATACTTTAAATTTTGCTAATGAATCACTGTTCGGAGCACTCTACAAAAGCTATTTTACTTTTAAAATAATCCTGAGAAGTTGGTGTCAGAAAAAAAATTTTCAATTTACTGTGGCTCAGGGTGTAAAATCAGCAGTTACATTTCTAGTGAGTGTTTGGAGCCTGGAAGGAAATAGGACTGAGCAGCCTTCTTCCCAGCTCAGCAAACAAGTGGCCACCAGAGCCCAGACTGGGAGGAGGGCACTGGGCTCAGCCTTTCAGGGACCAGGATTTGTGTTGGGCAGAAATCTGAGTCCACACTGGTCCCCATTCTTGTGACTGGGGATCAACCCTGGAGAGTAGCTGAGTTTTTTCTTCGGTGGTAGAGTGGAAAGAATACAGGCTCCCATTGCACATAGCTCTGAGCCTCAGTTTCCTCATTTATAAAACTGGTAATTTCTACCTTACAGAGTTTCAAGGATAAATAAAATAACCTTTAAGAAAAGGTGTGTGTGTGGGGGGGGTGATAATGTTTAGAACCTCACTCAGTAATGGTCCAGAAGAACATCATATGCATCTGGATGGGAGACCTGGTTATCACTGTGGAGAAGGAAATTAATTTAAGAACAGAGAAGGGAGGCTGCCAAACTCACAGTGATCCATCAGAGATGCCAGAACCCATGCTCCACCATCAAGCATCCATTCCAGGATTCTAATGTTTCCCGGCTGCTTTGCCCCTTTAGTATTTCAGGTCTGGGCTCCTTTGAGAGTCTGAGAATAGGGTCAGCAACATAAGCACCTGCCTGACAAGTGCAAGGTCCTAAGTTTGATTCCTGATACCAAATAAATAAAGAAATAGATAGATAGATAGATAGATAGATAGATAGATAGATAGATAGAGTCTGAGAATGGAGGGACATCCCTAGTCTGATCAGAGTGAGATCCAGGTAAGGTCTGAGCCAGATGGTGGCCTTGGTTGGTCTTCTGGCTCCTCCTAGGTGATCAGGATGAGTTGCTGGGAAGGTACAGTAATTCAGGGCAGCCTGGCCCTCAGTTACTGTTGTGTTCTCTGATGACAGTCAGCCTGTCATGTGGATGCAGGCAACTTTCACAGAGTCCCACAGTACAAGAGCCACCTGGGTCCTAAAAACAAAGTCTAATTTCCCCACTCCTGCCCACAAAGCCCTTTCCTTTCATGGCTATATCACTTAATAGAAAGAGTAAGAGGCTGTGACTTGTGGGCTGTGGGATTCTTGAGCAAGTCTCTTTCATGCAAAAAGTAGCTCCCCTTCACTAGGTAGACAATCCAACTGGGGGCTGCTTTCCTGGGAAAGTGAGGCCTTTATAGCAGATGGGCTATAAATGCATAAAAGAAACAGAATAGGGACCGGTATAGATGGATCAAGCTTGTGGGCAATTAAGGATTTTTTGAAACAATTTTGTTTATTTGCTTTTAAGGGCACAATGTCCTGTATGGGATCAGATTTGTTCTTCTAGAAGACGTTGGTTGCAGTGTGGAGTAGAAGTGTGTGGATGTGGGATCAGGTTTGGGGTGGAGGATCAGAGTGAGGACAGGATGGAGATGGCATGTATCTAGGATACAAGGTTGGCTATGTAGGCCATCTTGGGCTCCATAGTGAATTCAAGACCAGCCTAAACTGCAAAGCCAGACCCTATCTCGGGAAATCCAAACAAATTAATGAGTAAAGCGGTTTGTAAGAATTAGGTTTGTGGGTAGGAGGAACCCAGAGAAACTCTTGGGTTTCTGACTATCATGGCTGGATCTGGAGGTCAAGAGTGGGGATTACAGTTCGTGTGTGTGTGTGTGTGTGTGTGTGTGTGTGTGTGTGTGTGTTTTAAGTGCTGAGAACTGAATCCAGGGCCTTTCTTACCTTCTCTACCACTTAGCAACCCCACCCCCAACACACACACACACACACACACACACACACACACAACATTTGGTTTAGAATTCCTTGAACTTAGATTCCTTTGAGGCGCCTGCCCCATTGTTGTCTTTGGCCTGCAGTGACCCTGCCCTATGCTTCTGAGGGCTGTGGCAAGGAGTGGGGACCTGGGGAAAGGCTTTGGTCAGGCCCATGAGAGGCCTGACCCCTCTCCACTTCCAGGGGCTTCCAAGGGCCCATAGGCTTCCAACCACAAGCTCCTCTGTCCTGGAAGCTCCAGCTCTTGCCTTTCTATGGCAGCCACCCGACCGACCTAGCCCCCAAACCCTCTCTGGGGTTAGGGGCTCGGGGCATCTATGCTCCTCCCCAACCCCTGTTTCCGATAGTGGGTGGAAAAACGGAAATTGAGCGCTAGCAGGGCGCCGCCCGAAATAGCATCTGGTGCCTGTCGGTCAGTGCGTCCTAGAGTCCGAGAGCAAGAGACTGGCCAGGCCAGGAAACGCCACCCCCACCGCGCCCGAGCCGGCCTCGGGCGGGCAGGAAGCTGGGAGCGCCGGCTGGGGGTGGCGGGGCTGGTGAGTCTGCAGTCAGCCTGGTGGCAGGGCAAGAGGTAGGATTGCTTGCTAGGCTTCCACTGAGGCAGTCATTTCTCACCACCACTGCCGAGCCAGGGTTCTCTATACCCCAAAGCAAGGCTTCCACTCTTTCAGGTGTTTCTGCCTACCCTGTCTCGGGGTTTCTGAACTTTCTCCCCAGAGTTTGACCTCCAGGAGGGTTGGGTTTGCTGCAATCTGATGAGCAGCTAGTTTTATTTCCAGCAAGTTTATATTAAGGTTGCTGTATGCAAAGTGCCACCAGAAGCACTTCATAATATCATTTCAGTTAATACTGGCAAGAACCCTAAGAAGTAGGGCTTTCCAGGCTCTCCATTTTGTAGGTAGCCCTGAGAAACTGAGCATCTTGCAGAGAATGACCAGCTGGTAAGTGGTGGAGGCAGAGTTTACACTGAGGGCCAGCTGGCCGTGGGCACCTCCTAGGCAGCAGAGCAGATCCTCGGCAGGATGACCAGGGTTGCGGGATTCTAGGCAAGTGACTCCATCTCTGAATTTCATTTTTCTTACCTGTAGAAGGAAGGAGACAGCTGTCTGTCCCTCACACTGGTGTTTGTAAGGAGTACTGTTACTGGTAAACACTTCTATTTAAGGAAATGTCATTATTTCCCCCTCTCCACTTCCGCGTGACTGTTCTCTCCATTTCTGTCCTGGAAGAAGTCTGGCCCCATCAGTGAGTGGACCTGAGCCAGAATCCCAAGTGGAAGAGTCTTTCTGTGATTCTAAATCCCAACTCTGCCATCATAATTTTCAGGGATGGAAGAGACTTCATGTTAATTCCTGGTCATCTGGAAATTTCCCAGAAAAACCAATCCTTGGGCCCCACCTCAAACCTCCTAAGGCAGAGATTCTAAAGGTGAAACCAGTAATCTGTTTGCACCAGCCTTCCAGGTAATTTT